GCCCAGCAGGTCGAGGCTGCAGTGACCGGGAGCGGCCACTGCACTCCAGTCTGAGTGACAAAGTGAGACTCCAACTCAAAAAAAAAAAAAAATTTTTTTTTTTAATTAGCTGCACATGATGGTGCACACCTGTAGTCCCAGCTACTAAGGAGGCTGAGGCGTAAGGATTGCCTGAGCCCAGGAGGTTGAGGCTGCAGTGAGCTGTGATGGTACCACTGCACTTCAGCCTGAGTGATAGAGTGAGACCCTGACTCAAAAAAAAAAAAAATCCAACATCCTTATTTTGGTCTCCAAGGTCCTACAAATCTGGTCCTCAGCCCCCCTTTCAGCATGTATATATAGAAATGCACACATACACACATATCTCCTTCCACTCTCCCTGCATTCCTCCTCTCCCACTACTCAAGAGGCTTCTGGTCACCTTTCTCCTCTCACGGTCCCTTCCTGCCTCAAGTTCCGCTGCAGGAACTTGACAAGGTACAGAACTAGAATGAGGCAGACCTGGGTTTGATCCTGGATCTGATGTTTACTGGCTGTATCACCTGGATTAATTTACTTCACCTCTCTGGACTTCAATCTCTCATCTGTGAAACAGAACAAATTGTACGTACTCGGTAGGATTACTGTGAGGGTTTAGGGAGGAGACGTGAGGAGAAAGGTATTCTCCACCCATCTCTCACATCTGTGCAGCTCTTGCGAGCAAAGACACTATTACCTTTGTTCTGGGCTATCTGTTCAAGGATGTTTGTATAGTGAACAGCCTTGGATCACAAAGACAATGTCTCCCTCTACAGCAAAGGGCAGGCGTGCTCACTGCCCATTAGAAAAGATTTGGGTCCCCCGCTGTAATATTATACAACTCACCATGCATTTAGGCATCCATGTGGGTCCATCTGTATTGCCTTCACGAGACTTGAGGGTATGGAGAAGTGGCACAAATATGTTCACGTCCATGTTCCTGCTGTGCTGTAATAAAGTCCTTTGTCTCTGACCCAGAAGTCTAATATCTTCTGCCAGCATCCATGAAATTGTGTCTGACTGACTTATTTGTTTGAAAGCAGAGTAAAATCTTAGGCCTTGCACAGTTCTTGACAGTTTTGACAATAAGAACGGGATGCTGGCAGAGACATGGCTTTTTGTAAGATGAACAATGCAGATCTTACGGGCTGATTAACAGGTTTTGAGGGAAGGCCAGGGAATTGGCAGAATACATGCTGACCGTATTATATGATCAACCACGCAATAAGTGGTCTTCAACTGTACTTCCTATTCATGAGGAGGAATTAGGAAGGTGCTTGCAGGTCAAGTACCAAGAACCAGGTTCAAAGTCAGCTGCCAGACACCGTCCTGGTTGTTGTTAACTTTCCTTTGAGTGGGGTTGGGAAATGGGGAGGGGTAGTTCTCACAGTCAGCTTCAAGTCTGCCCCAGGGTAACGACCAATGCTAAGACTCATCCTAGGAGTACAGAAGTCTCACCCCATTTCAGACAGCTTGTAGATAGATGTGCACACATGCCAAACACAAATGGAGGGAAATTCACTACCACTCTGGACAAAAATAACATGAATCATTAGAACTTTGATTCACTTGGGGAATGAGGGACAGGGCATGTCATCTATGGTAAGGAAGGATGGTAACAGCTGGGCCACCTTACAGCTCAGTCTGTCCTATCATGTCACAGTAAAGGGTCTCAGAAGTGCTGTATTCCCAGTAGAGTTCCAGCTGCCATCCGGGAGCTTTGTTTTTCTCAAAGAGATTTCCCTGAGACAGAAGAGATCCTGCAGGAAACCACAGATGAAGCATTGATTACTATTTGGGCCCCTTCTATCCTAGTTTTGGTTTACAGTGCTGATGAAGATAACCTACTGGAGAACGAAAAACAGACCCAGAGAAATCTAGATAAACTCTTGTGAT